CAGCTGTTAGTCCAAGACTCTGAAGTAAGCAGGCATTTGGGAATTATGAAGACAGTAATTTAACTACCACGCCCCTCCATCATCCCCCAGCAAAACCCTCCTTCACTTTGGCAACAGCGCCCTCAGGCGCTAATGCACCTCTACTACATCAGGACATTCTCTCCACCCCCACCAACACATTTGTAATTTACTGAGCCATCTTTGATACCTCCATGTCTTGAATAATTTACTAAAGAAGTGAAGGTAGTAGATTTCAACGCCTTTTAGGTGTGACTGTTTGGGAGACTGGCAGAGCATTAAGGCTCTTGTGTAGGCAGCCACCTGTTTCCAGGGATGCTCAAGTCTGGGACTTCTGAGATCCACTCTGCGGCAAAGCTGACTCAGGTAAGCAAATCCTAATCCACCAAAACATTCAAGCCTGTCACAAACACTGCAGTGTTCAGAGCACGCTACCGAGAATCATTGTTACATCCCAATAAAGATTACACAGCCTCTTTTGAGAGGGGGCTATCAAGAAATATATGCAGGGGAAAAAGAAATACATACAAGGTAAAGCATTGCAGAGGCGGCATCCTATCTTACAGTAACTCACAGCTTGACTCCTGTCAGACACACAGTCCTGGAACTGGTGGACATCATATGACTTGTAGGAGAAACTTGTAGGAGAAATCACAATTTCTCTACTTACTTAGTTAAGTCCTCCAGGGACACTAGAAACTGAGCTAATGGGTGATTTGAGTAGGGGGTGCTCGATTAGGAGATTCTCTGGTGGAAGAAGCTTTGAGCTTGCTTCAAAAGAAGAGAGTGGGATTCAGATGCAAATGCATGTGGGGGGGGGCTTTGATTAGAGGGACCAGAGGAGGGAGAAGCTGATCCTGTCTGAAAGGGTGAAGCCAGCAAATGATTGGATGCCTCTAGAGCTACATCCTGGTCCTCCGGTGTCTGGGGTGGAGGTGGGGCACTGCAGAGAGGGAGGGCTGCAGTAGCTCTGCAGGGAGAGTGTTGGGGGAGCAGGAAGTGCCAATAAGGAGATTTTGGATTCACTACTATCGGTTGCAATAGCTGTTTAAGTAGGAAAATACTAGGTATCAAGTAGACAAGGTGGTGAGGCTCTTACGGTTTTGACACTGGTTAGCCATAAAGCTTTCAGTTCTGGGGAGCCCAAAAATTGTACCCTATTTCTAAAAGTTAATTCTAGAAGCATGACCAAATTTGCACAACTCCCTCAACAGACATTTTCATGAGAAAGATAGCAATTATGGGACTTTATCACTTGTTTATTCGGTAACAGCTACTTATTTACTGTGTTTCTGACACAGCAAAAGGCACTGTTTTCTAGCCCTTAAGGCTATTTTAAAGTACCTCACGGTGTCTGAGATTTTTTTATATGTTAATTTTTTGTTGGTTTTTTGAGAAAGGGTTTCTCTATGTAACTGCCCTGGTTGTCCTGGAACTCCCTCAAATCAGGCTGGCCTCAAACTCACAGAGATCTGCCTGCCTCTGCCTCCCAAGTACTGGGATTAAAGACCTGTACCACCACTGCTTGGCTTTATATGTTTATTAAACAAAACATGAATAAGATTGTCCTGTACTCACAGAAAAGTCTAAGGCCAGCCCCCAATTGTGCCTTAGAGCAGGGTTCTCCTGCCTTCTAAAATAAAGCAACAAGCAGGCAAATGGAGTAAGTCATACAGTTACCTGCCTTTTAGGATCCCTGGCCACACCTTCAGAGCACATTAAGGTAAGTCTTGCTCTAAGTAGAAATGGATTTTATTAAGTCAAATTGAAACCATAGGTAAATGGGGGGGTGTGTCTCTTCATTTCAAAAGTATTTACCCAGGAGTTCTTTAAAATAGTTACTTCTCTAAGTGTAATTAAAATCATTTGATTTTATATAGTTAAGGTGTTCCTAATATAAAATAAAAAGTGACTGGCAGAGCAGAGAATAAATAGATAGTCAATGTAGTGCCCTAAGAGTTGTCGTAGCAATTTGATCCAACACCAATCTTAGCTGGAGACGAGCCCCCCCTGTAGGGTGCTGGGGTCTTTGGGTTTTTCAACAGACAGCATTTCATTTCAGATTCTAAAGCAAAGGGAAAAAAGGATTTGCAAATGACACCGTGTGGTTTGCTGAGTCACTTTTGTAACCTGGCTGCTGTGCTTAAGTTCGAGTGATATTTGCAAAGAACACTCCAGGGCTGTGGACAAGATTAAAGGGCGGTTGGTAGGAAGGAACCAGTCACTGAGACAACAAACGAGGAAGCCTGTGCAGCCATAATGCTCCTCCAATTTAGTCTCCAAGCTTTCACAGTCGCTGTGTAAGATGCTTTCAGTGGATTCCAGGGCAGAGAAAGGCTAGAGTTCCTATGTGCATGACAAACACGAAAGCAAGCAAAGAATGGGAGGCCAAATGGATAAATGTATGTTAGAGCCCCATAGTGGATCCCTGGGAGATTCACCAAGTATCTATCATGAACTAAAATTAGGAACCCTGGTTTACCAACTCCTTTGGGTGTTCTGAAGTCAACAAGAAGGATAAGGAACCTGCAGGTAGATGCAAGAAATAAATCCTGCCTACCCCACCCTTACCCCTCTGCTATTTCCTTCCCAGAACCAGGCAGTTCCAATTGCAACGATCAGGTTGTCGTTTGCACCCCCTGATAGCTACCATAAACAAAGGACCCTGATGTCACAGGTGTTTAGGGGTCTTTCTGTTTTTCTGCATGGGGGCTGGCTTCCTATGTCACTGCAGAGCACACCCATTTACAAATCTCCTTGCCTCTGAGATTTGAGCTCTAGTGTACTATCGAGGCCTGTACTGGCTCAAAGCGCCTCTACATTTTGATGTAAAACAGTCTTAGAATAGTATTGCATTAGACTTGTACCTGATGAGTCACATCTATTAGCTCCAAGGATGACGTCAGGGGAGACCGCCAGCCCCTCCCACCTCCCTCCCTCAGAGCCTTCAGCAGAGATCACACTGGGAAAGACCCAGGGTGGCATTTTTGGACACTGTTCTTATATGGAAAGATAGCTTCAGGAGGCTTCGAGAACAGCTCTAGCCCCCGAACAGCTCTAGCCCCCGCTTCCCAAGAGCTTTCAATATCGACAAGCCTCCTGGGTCTCTCGCCACCGGTTTTTACCCCTCCTACCTTCCTCTTTTCTTTTCCTCTCCTCCCACTAGTGCAGTCTGGGTAGCTTCTCTGCTCCCTAACTTACAGAGGGTGCAGTGAGGCCTCTCAGAATGCTGGGTCTTCTGAACAGGGAGAACTAAAGTTCTCTTCTGAGCCATTCATGATATTTAAAGCAGTGATCATACAGCTACCCACTGCTTCTTATATCCCTATC